CTCCTGGAAACGGCATTGTATCCGATGTTCGGCCAGGTCGTCTGGCAAGTCGCACATAGGTTGGGCCATCTCTATGGCCGTTCTTCGGACTTCGCCATGGAGAAAGCAGGTCTTCTGCGCAAAGAGAAGCGAGCTCCAAACCGCTACAACCTGTTTAAAACTTTTGCTAGCAGGACGAAACCAGAGGAGGGAGATCATGGTTAGTCTTCGTTTTACCTTCTTGAACCCGCTTCCTCATATAATATGATTGTAGAAGGCCTCCAGCTCTGGAACAGGGCCACGAATGAGGAGTACAAGAAGCTTATGGAAGGAGCGACAACAAAAGAAGAGAAAGATGAACGGATGCAGGAGGCCGTTAGTTTCATCAAGAATCAAGTCAATGAAGAAGGGACCAATGTCTGTGACGCGAACCTTCGCTTCGCGTCTCACATGAAGGAAATTCGCGATCTTGTACATCTGATTGGTTTGTTCATCACATTCTTCTTACATACACCACTTCTTTTACAGATCACCAATATCAAACGTCACGACAAATCTTTCGACATTGCTGGTATCTTGGTCTACAGCGGCAGAAATCTAACGGCGTGAAACAAGACGGCTTTTTTCATGAGTTCCGAGGACCTTCACGCGCTCTGCACCCGTGAGGAGTGGCCAATGGCCACCTTGATGGACATCTTTGTTAGCAAAGTCTGGTGCGTTGTCCCCCTTTCATGTTATGGGTTTTTGTCTCACTTGTGCTGCTACAGTGCTATGCATGCAGACCAGCAAATTAAGCAGTCGATGGAGGAACTAAATGTGACTCCCTCGACTACAGCTAGCTCCTCAACGGCTCGCGCCCGGACCAGCCTTGCATCTGCTTTGAAGAAGGAGGCTTCTTCGGATAAGGATGTGCTACCTTACACGAAGGAACGTCAGAAACAATTCACGCGATTGTTTCTTGATCTTTTGAGTAATATTTTGTTTTGTTCAGTGATTAACAGTTATTGATATGATATTCAGATGGGTGCTTGGCTGAAAAGGATTGACGCACATTGGCCCCTTGGACCACGTGGCCCAATCTCGCCTACCAATTCAAACTGGTTATCACAGGTTGGGATTCTGCTATGGTCGACATAGCCTTCTGCCCGGGATTTGCACCTACCAAGATCACAAGCTCTCAATGGAAGCACCTATCGACTCTGATTGTAAAGAAGCTCTTGGTGGTGAAGCCCTGGTCTGATGGTAAGTTAGATAACATTCTGTTGACTTACATCTGTCTGAGTTGTTTTTTAGAGCAAAGACTAATCCCAGAGAGTGAAGCTTGCTTCGGCGAGATCCCTGTCATTATTAACTCCAAAGGTCTTCCAATGGTCTTCGTCAAAGACTCGACTAAATGGGTCTGTCACAATTGCTCTATTTCGGCCCCAACGAAGAAGCGCGATCAGAAAGGTGATACATCTTCCCCTGTCAGTTCTTTCCCTTCGTCTCCGGCGTTGTCCACGAAGAAGCGATCACATGACACCGCCATGGCCTCGCCTGAAGAAGAACTCAAGCACAAGTCCACAAGAGAGTACCACCCTCTGCCGAAACAACCAGAAGTGGAACCTCCCGCTAAACGCCAACGTCACGTCTCCTTCACCTCCCTTCCCGATAACATGTTTTATACCAAACTTCGACAAGCTGAACATCCAATCTCCTTCTTTGACCCACTCAAGAACCAGAAAACACCAGCTTCATCATCTCGTTCAGTCTCTCAACCCTTCGCTAGTTCTTCAGGTCACATTGCCTCATCATCTCGATCAGTATCTCAGCCTTTTGCTAGTACTTCTGGCCATGCTCGTGTTTCAGGCAAACGTGCTGGGCCAGGGAAGAACTCTCAAGATTCAGTTGCTAACTAGGTCATTGCTTTCATGTTAAGTCCTTTTGGACTTATTTTTCTTCCATCTAACTTGGTTGTTGTGCTGCTCGTTTGG